GAAAGATGCTGTTTTCCAACATTATAACTAGAGTCTACACTTGGGAGGTGAAGGATATGTCACTGTTTTGTCCCCAGTAGATCACAATAGCTTTGTGCCAAATCCTATTCACCTTACTCATTCACAAGAGTTACTGTCTCACATTACTCTCAAACAAAAGAAGAGATCAACTATTTTTAATGCTTCCACCTTTTCAGCAAAGAACTTGCTCTGAGGAAATGCAGACCGAGCCAAATCTCATCCACAGTGAGACGCGCACACCCAACTCCTGTCTCACGCCATGCAGCAGCAAGCCTGAATGTCACAGAGTTGCAGCACTGTGCTGTGGCCTCTCTGCCATTCTGCAGCATCACCTGCCACGCTCTGTGGATTACAGAGCTAGGAAGAGGTTTCCACAGTGTCCTGTGGTTGGAGGTATGCTACATATGGAGGCTCCACCTTACCCCCTCCTCCTTCTGAGAAAGGAGGTATCTCTATTTCCCAGTCACATCGGTCTCAACTCAGGAAAATAGAAATTTGAGAGGTCTAACCGTGGGATTAGATAAAGTTCACAGTGACTCAAGGGTGAAATCCTAGCCCTAGTGACATCAACAGAAAAACTCTCACTGACCTGAGGGCCAAGATTTCAGCCCATATCCCAAACTAAAGTGTTTTTTAAGCCAATGAAATTCAGGCTCTGATCCTGTAGGAGATTTACACACCTTTCACTTCACATACTGAGCAGTTCAGATTCAACTGAACCATTAACATCAAGTAAAGTGACGCTTGTCAGTAAGTTTTAGTGAGATCCAGTCTCTAATTATAAATACAATCTTAAGATCTTACACTGTAGTGAAAGGTTTCAAACAGCACAAAAGCAACTCCAGGGTTGCTTGCTTTGGTTTTTTTTTTTCTTTTTACTTACTTTTGTCTGATCATCAGCTTTAAATACATAGCAGATACTTCGCTGATTTGCTGCTGCATCCTTTATCAGACAAGCAAAGTAGCTTGGATCATGGCTGTTGTGAATCAGTTTGTGGACATGCTGTGGCTTGTATTCAAACAAACTTGAACAAATCAAAGGATCCCACTGCTGGATTTTCCCTGTGTCTGGTTCACATCGCAAACTCGCTGGTGAAACACAAAGTCGGATTTGGCTGATGCTAGGTTCTTCTTTGGAAGACTTTGTACTGAGCATGCGGATCTCTGCCACAATCCAAGGCAGCATTGACATGGTGGTTAGGGAATGCACTGGCAGAGAACCAACAAGCTGGAGACTGAAACTTGCTGAGAAATCACTAGGTGTGTGATACTTTTTAACTTTGAATGTTATTGGCTCCATTTTGCAGTCCTTTAGGGAACCTGGTCTAATTCACCAATATTTCAGTTCCATGGAATGACGATATCTGACGGTTCCTTTGATTAAGGAACAGAAGAGTTCTGAAAGGAAAAGAAATAGTTATGTAGGTGCTGGAACCCTATTAAAAACAAACTGTCAGTAACACATATTTAATAGCTTAACATCAGTAGAGACATACTGATCATCTACCATGACCTATCTAGCACGTTTCCCCTACTTTGGACCTTACTATTTCAGGTCCAACAAACATAATAGTAGTAAATACATTGCTTAGAAAAAAGTCAGTCCTGATTTAGAAGTTGCTTTACAATCCTTCCTAAACCATCTAATGAGTAACTAAACTCAAAAATGTACATTCTTTCTAGCCTGTGTCTGTTTCATGGGCAGGTGCATGTGGATCACACTGGCCTATTTCAATCCTATTATCACAGAAAGAACTCAGCTGAGCTATTCTGACTTTCATGACAGTTGAAGTCAGTGCTTCACATTTGAAAAAAAAAAAGAAATAAAAAGGTCATCTTTCTTGTCCATAGGCGGATGATTTTGAATTTGGCTACTAACATGGAGTTGTTTCCTTGGGTATAGTTTGCCAAGTGATCATGGGCTGTTACCAACCAGACTTTTTCATTAAATAACACCCCAGAAATCGCTGTCATCTGAAAAAGCTAGCAGCAGTCAACTGACTGATCGCTGATAAACCTGTCAGATAGCAGAGATGAGCAACAATCCTTACAGCATCCCACTAAAAAACAGATGATGATTCACAATCCATGATTGCATTTTAAGGCCTGTCAGCCAGCCAGGCAAACTTAATGTTTGCCACATTGATACTGTATCATTTTCACTTCTTAAAATATCAAATGGAACCAAGTTACATACAACCCTGTTATAACCCTGTTACACCCAGCATCTACTACCACTACTGTTATTACATATTAGTAGTTTTAGTAACAAAATACAATAATTGCATTTATCTATCAATTTCATTTCGCAAAATATAGTCTATGAAAACACATAGATTGGCATTTGTTATACTACCATGTTTTAACTCCTCATTAACTGAACCTGGTTTCAGCTGTTACATTATTTTGTGCGAGACTGATGAGAAGCTGACAGGCCTATAATTGCCTACATTTAAATACCATGACATTAGTTTACCCTCAGCCTTCTGAGAGTTTCCCATGAAAAGGCCTATTAAAACCAACATGAGCAGTCCCAAGAACTCCTTACAAAACATTTTTAATTATATTTGAACAAGTATTTAATAAATGGCATCTGTTTACTGTGGCAACAGTATTTCTCATCTTTGTTCATCTACAAACATGATCAAAAATAGCAGTATTTTTTTCTCATGAGTTTTCATTAAACTTTGTCCTTTATTTGTCCTTGTAAAAATATTTTCAAACTGAGTTTCTAACAGTGCTTCACCTTGTTGAAAATGAAAGGAAATTTTAGGATTAAAAAAAACTTTAAAAAAATTTCAAGATGGAAATTCATTTTGAACTAAGCAAGTGTTTAAAATGCAACCAATTTGCAAATGTCCAAGTGAGGAAAAATGTTTCTGCAGTAACTGGCAAACTGTAAAAACGAGAACTGCAGAAACCACGTGTTTGGGTACATTTACTTTTTTGGAACTTTTTTGCATCTTTTGACAAATGAGCTCTGTGGCAACATTACCAGTTCCAAGGATGCCCAATTTAGCAAGAGAATCTAATAGTGCAGGTTTTAAAGACACTATTTGAAGAAATCATCATAAGTAGCATTCTAGATGTGTAGAAAAAAATTTTAAAAAGCCTTTTTATAAACCTGTGTGTGTGTGTGTGTGTGTCTGTGTGTGTGTGTCTGTGTGTGGGAGGTGTGGGAAAAAGGGCCATGAAAATCCAGAATTTGTATGCCTCATTTCAATTATACTACAACTCTTTTTCAAATTTTTTTTTGTTTGTTTCACAAACAAGCAAGAAAACAACCATCTTTAAGATGAATATATATGCATTGCATCGTATGGGATAGCAGCTTCAGGAAGCATTTTTACACTTTATCAACACATACGCTAAACATTTGTCAAACACAATTATCATTATAGTTTTGCATCTGTCAGGAATCAAAATGGCCTCTTCTTCTTTGGCGAACTATTACAGATTTTTTCTCCTTAATTGTAACAATGAAAAATAGTTCAGCAACTGCAGGGAAGATTGGATTCATTCATAACTGCAATGGTGTGTAGTCCGAAACACATAAAAATTGAGTTTTTAGCTTTTAGTGGTCTCGTCATTTAGTGACGTACATCATAATCTCAGGATAAGAAAGCCTATGAAAACTCCATTCTTAGTTGAAAACAGGAGAACTGAGCTACCACATGGATGATGACCTATTAGCCACATACTTTTTGTAACCGTATTTCCCAATTGTGTTTTCTCAGAACTCTTTTTTTAAAAATGCCATTAAATAAAATGCATGTAAAAATACAACAAAGTCATCCTCATTTAAATCAATTTTTCAAGGAAGAGAAGTTTCATTTGGATTACCACCATCTACCATGCTCTTTTACCCCAGACCTACAAGGCACTGCAGCCTCAAATAGGAATAAATATCACAGTGTAATACATTATTTTGCATGCTAACTCTAAGGACTGAACAGTATTTTAAAAAAACAGGTTGATACTCTGTCATACTTCAACAAACACTGTACTGCTGGAATGTATTTAATATAAATGCAAAGCTTCTTGGCATTCATCTCTTTTTAACAAAATAAACACCTTGCAAAGTCAACAGCATAAATACTCCAATGTCTGCATTTGTTATTTCTAAAGAAAAACAGTTAATACTAAATCAAAACAGTTAACTAGAAGTCAGAATGCTAGTTTTTTTCCTAACATTAAGAGGAGCTAGAAGTGCAGTTTCTCAGAGCACAAATTTAGCAGCATCAGGTCTCCTTATCTAACCTGTACCATTCTGTATGTTACCATTCTGCACGTTTCATCTCCTTTTTCCTGCCATTCTTTGTTTCTTCCTCCTGTCATCCTTATTTTAATTTACTTGCAAATCCCACCAGAAATTATACCAATTTCATGCTGACGGCGTTATTGTCCTTTAAGTTTACACCAAGGACTAGGTTTTACTTCAAGACCATGAAGTATTTACGTACACGCTTAATTTAGACCTAAAAATAGTTCTGTTCATCTCAACAGGCCTATTCCCAGCCATAAAATTAAGCACACATTATGGCCAAAGAGTGCCCATTCGTGTCTGCCCTAAATACACCACTTGCAATTTTGGCATCTTTACCCATCTCTGGTTGCCACCACTCAGTTCATCCCCTCTAAAACTTGGCTCTGCAGGTGCCGTACCCGTTTACCATCTGCATTAGTACAGTAGGCTCAAACAAGCTTCCTCTTCCTCCCAAGCATCTGACTGATTAACTCACAAACAGCTTCTTCAAAGCTAATGCTTATTTCACCTTTAATCCAAGAGAGAATAGAAAAGGTAAAAACATAAAGTCGCCCAGTTGTTTCCTTCCACCTAAACTTTGATCTTCCCTTGACAGCTCTAAGTGCCATTCAGCCCCGTTACTCTGGGCTGGGAAAAGACTGCCAGGCTTTGCTTCACACACAGGCTGAATGTCTCCAGTTGTTCTCCCGGTGCTCACGGACATAACTGAGGCAGCTCCTCTTTCTCCCCTCCATCGGCATCTTCTGAAGGATCTCCATTGCCCTTGCACTCAGAGCTGAGAAGAACTTGAGTAGCACTCCTCAGCTAACAGCTTTGCTGCTGTCTGAGAAATGTTAATATTCTCCAAACTGTATCTTAATGTTGCCACTGTTTAATCTACTTTGATTTAGCCGTATTTGCTCCATCAGCATAAAAACAGCCAGGCAAACTGTAGCACATATGATATTTACACAAACCACACTAATAAATCTAATCCCACCTTCTATAATAGGAGACACCAGACTTGACTCACTAATGTGAAAGATACACATGGCAACATATGTGTGCTCTTTGTCCTCAACTTCTCTTTCACTGTGATCAACCCAGCCACTTCTCACAAGCGGGGAGCAGGCTTAGAAAGCATACAACACTACGCTGATAGTCCTGTTCTAGCAAAATCTGATATTGTGTTTTAAAAAAAATACACATATTAGGCTCTTGTTCTCCCAAATTAAGTTGTATTTGCATCTCTTTATGCCACCAGAAACTAAAAGGAACGCCTTCAGAGATAAGTCAGGGTGATGGCAGGACAGCATGAAGGGGACAGCTACAAAAATTAGTACCTCTGCCATTCTGGACCCCAGGTTCTCCCTGCATGAAGGTACATGTCTAAGCAGCTGTGCATCATGCAGGACAGTATTCCTCAAAACCCACCTTCTCTCAAGAGAGCAAAGACTTTATCATGAGGACAAGGTACAGGCTCTGGGTGCCATTCGGTTAGATGGGGCCAGGTTAGCTTTGAGGTTAGGAAGGAGAATCGTGTGGGGTACAGAGAATAGACTGTGTTATTAACCTGGAAGGGTGGGGCACTGGAAATCAGGTTTTGGTAGCTGGCTGAAAACCAGACAGATTTGGGATGGACTTAGACTAATACAGAAAAAAAGGCAAAGAAGGGAGAGAGATTGTTCTAAACCAAAAGAACACACACAAATAAAAAAAAAAAGGAAACTACAACAGTGGTGAGGAGTTATCCTTCTTCTGCTGTTTCTTCTGGACTGGACTAAATTCAATACAGACACGTGGCCAAAAGTTTTAGAATCTTGTTCAGAACATAGGTAACTATTGACCTAAGCAATCCTTCACTCTCCTCCAGCTTTTCTCCTGGTTTGGTAGCAGTTGGGAGTGCTGGGACCCACAGCAGAACTGACGAGTTTAGAAGATGTGTCAAGCAAGGAAGCGGTCAGAGCTTCCACACATCAGTGACTAAATGAGGAGTTTGACCTGTGAATTGTTGAACAGAAAGACGCCAGCTTCCTCAACCTTTGCAGTTCATCTGAGAAACAACTGTGCAGTTACTCCAAACCAGGCAACTGACATGACAGCAGTTTTTTTCTGTAAGTCGGTTTTCTTTCTCCCCTCCAAGAA